AGACTAAGTTACTGGAATTAAGACTTATTCTATGCATCTGCTCTCCCACAATATGGCACTGAGAGAAAGAGACCAAACAACCTCTACGCAGCTGCCTCATCAGTTTGACAAGCTGCAGGGGCTGATCCTGCTCCTGATTGGAGGAGAGCAGCGTGCTCGGCATGTGGGTAGCAGAGTTGGGATTGGAGGAAGAAGACTATATAGGAGGAGAGAGACAACATGCACCAGGAACATCTAAAAGGAACATCTGAAGGAACACCTGAGCAGCCCCCGAGAGAGCCAGCCGGCGGTGTGCTGCTCCCCCGCGGAAGTGGGGAAAGTGGCAGGGGGTACCGCCCTTCCACGGAGGTGGAGGGGTCGGCAGCCAACCCGGGAAGGACCAGCAGCAAACCCGGGAAGGGCCGAGCAGGCAAAAGAACAGCGCAGGGTTTAGTGTCGTTCCTCCACGAAGAGGGGGAGCGACACCAGGGAAAGGCATGGGGCTACTTTGTGACTCAGTTTATGTGGTATTCTCATCAGCTCATTTTTTTTTTTATTTTCTGGTCTTATTTAGATTAAAACAAATGATACACATGCATCATTTTCCCTGCAGCCCTCTCAAGAATGTCTATCATAAAGCAGTTTCCAAACATTTCTTTCCGGTATCTGATTTTAATTGGCTTACCTCTTGTCATTGAGAAATCGTTTTGTTTGGAATTTCAAGATATCACTTATTCCTGCTCACAAGAATATAATTAATGTGTTTTGTGCTAAGGCAGCCACAGAAAATGTAACTTTTCTCTTGCTGTTCTGAAATTACTAGCGTAGTACTGAGAATAAATGATGTACCTTTAAAATGCCTGCAGTTGAAAAGGAGATGTTTTCTGGATGAATTGGAATTTTATTTGTGTTTGCTTCTATGATCTTTAACACCCTCAACTCAAATTTCATCAGTGAATTATAAAACAGCACTAGAAGTTGGATCCCAGCTCTCTATTCAATCCCTATCCCTCTGGTCCTGCAGAGATAGCCATTCTTCCTTTCAATAAATATTTATTGAATGCTTATCATAGTCCAGTCCAGGTGACACAAACACGTACAGTGTCTTGTCCTTGATGAGCTCACTCTCTAGAAGGAAGATACATTTTTATATTTGTGTTTTGAAATTAAATGCATTGTGATAAGCATTTGTGCTAATAGTTGGAGAAATTCAGAGCTCATTTTGCCACAGGGAGTCAAAAGGGGCTTCACCAAGGAATTGATATTTAAAGATGTCCAAAAAGGCCATTCCACAATTTTCTTTAAATTTAAAATTATTAATTTAAAACCAGATGAAAAAATCATTCAAAATTAAAGTTTAAAAATTAAAATACATATTCAAAAGAAAATAGACCGTGGCCAGTTTTGTGACAGATACAATCAGGCTAAAATCTGTAATGCCAGCATCCCTACTGGAGCTCTAGTTCAACAGAGTCCCAGCTGCTCCGCTTCTGATCCAGATCCCTGCTAGTGTGCCTGGGAGAGCAGTGAAGATGGTTCACGTGCTTGGGCCTGCCACCCATGGGGAAAAGCAGGATGGAGTTCCAGGTTCCTGGTTATTACAGCGATTTTAGGAAAGGACTAGCAGATGGAAGATTCACTCTCTCTCTCTCTCTCTCTCTCTTTCTCCTTTCCTCCCTCCCTCCCTCTCCCTCTCCTTCTAGGTCTGTCACTCTTTCATATAAATAAAATGAATATTTTTAAAAAGAGAGAGTGAGTGAGAAATAGAGGAGTAGGTTAAACTCAGACCTGCATTCTGGCACAGCAAGTTAAGCTGCTGATTGGGGACACCAGCATCCCATATCGGAGTGCTAGTTTGAGTCCTGGCTGTTCTGTTTCCCATCCAGCAACCTACTATTTTGCCTGGGAAAAGAGCAGACGATGGCCCAAGTAGTTGGGTGGGCCTCTGCCACTCATGTGGGAGACCTGGATGGAATTCCAGGTTCCAGTTCCCTGTTGTTGTGGCTCACTGAGGAGTGAACTAGTGGATGGAAGATCTCTTTCAATCTCTCTCCCTTTCTCCTCTCCCCTCTCCCCTTTCTCTCTCCCCTTTCTCTCTCCCTTTCGCTCTCCCTCTCTCTCTTTCAAATAAATAAAACAAATCTTTAAAGAAAATGGACTATGGGCCAGCATGGTGGCATAGTAGATAAAGCCATCACCTATGATGCCCACACCCCATATGGGTGTCAGTTTGTGTCCCAGCTGCTCCACTTCCAATCTAGCTCCCTGCTAAGGACCTGGAAAAAGCAGCAAAAAATGGTGCAAGCGCTGGGGTCCCTGCTATCCTAGTAGGAGACCTGGAAGAAGCTCCTGGCTCCTGGCTTCAGCCAGGCACAGGACTGGCTATTGCAACCATCTGCAAAGTAAATCAGCAGATGGAAGATTCTCTCTCTCTCTCTATCTCTCTCTCTCTCTGCAACTCTTTCAAATAAATACATAAATCTTAAAAAAAAAAAACAGAAAGGAAGAAAATGGACTAAATGAATGGCGTCTACCTCTGTGACATTCAGTAGAAAGTAAATAGGCTCAGTATGAAGCAGATGCATTTAGGTTGCCAAGTATTTACAACGTTTTGTCTTTTGAAGTTGTTATTTAAAATCAGGGTCTCATCCCTAATTAACTGTATATTCTCTCTCTGACATGAACACTAAATGACTCAGATTGACTCTCAGATTTCTATCTCTGTGCCTAATTTGTTTGGCCCTGGACTCACAACCTTTCTTCATTAGTAAAGGCTTATAAAAGTCCTAAAAGCTGGTAAAATAAGAACGCTCCCTGCTTCTGATTCAGATGTTCTTAATTATTCTTGGCTCCTTGTTTTTTTCCAGATAAATTTTGCCATCAAATTTCAAGTCTGTAAAAGTCTTATGGAAATTGATTGGAATAGGAGGTAATACATAGATAAACCTGGGTAGAATTTTCTTCTTCATGAAATATGATGTATTTCCACTTATTTAAATCCCTTAAGATATTTCTTATAACAGTTTTAGAATTCTCTTCACGTATGTTTAGAATTCTAAATGTAACTTCAAGTTACTGGACATTCTACAATCTGTCCTACCCACCTGATATTCCAGGGCTAGCTTTCTGCAAATGCCCTGTTGTTTATCTTTTTTTTTTTTTTCATTTTTCTAAACTACTTATTAAAGATTTATTTATTTGACAGGCAGAATGAGAGAGGATGGAGAGGCAGGCAGAGAGACAGAGAAAGAGAGAGAGGGACAGAAAATCGATCTTCCACCCCTGGTTCACGCCCTAAATGGCCACAATGGCCAGGGTGGGCATTGCTAAAGTCAGGAGCCCAGAACTCCATCTGGGCCTCCCTTATGGGTGACAGGGGACCACGTATCTGGGCCATAATCCACTGCCTTCCAATTAGCAGGGAGCTGGTTCAGAAGCAGAGCTGCCTGCACGCAAACCGGCACTTGGACATGGGATGCCATTGTTGCCATCAGGTGCTTAACCTGCTGTGCCACAACACTGGCCCCACCCCACTGTTTTTTTCTGATGTCTTCCCTGACAAATGCATTCCCATACCCATTGCTTCATTGCTCTTTCCCTTCCAGGCAGACTGTTGCTTGACTACAACGTGCAACTGCCAGGAGGCCTTCTCACTGTTGTACAGTTGTGTCCTGTAACAGGTTTTGCTATTGCAGAAGGGCCCATGACTGCTTTCTAGTTCGTTATTTCTCCAGAGAGCTTAGGAAAGGGCTTGGCATTAGATTAGATGGGTATTCAAAATTATTGGTGAGGGGGTCTGTGTTGGGGCTCAGCAGGTTAAGCTGGTATCGGGGAGGCCAGCATCCCACCTGGCTACTGGTTTGAGTCCTAGCCACTCAACTTCTGATCTGACTCCCCACTAACACACTAGGGAGGGCTACAGAGAATGGCTCAGGTACGTGGGTTCCCGCCACTAAAGTGGAATACTAGGTTGGAGTCCAGGCCCTGACTTTGGCCTGGCCCAGCCTCAGCTGTTGGGGCCATTTGCGAAGTGAAACGGCTGATGAAAGATCTCTCTCTCTCTCCCTCTCTCTCTCTCTCTTCTTCTCTCCCTCTCTGTAACTCTGCCATTCAAAAAAAAATACAATAAAAGTTTAAAAATTATTGATAAAATGAAAAAAAAAGTCTTCAGCAAACACTTCTTTTATCCACAGAGCTGCTCACTGCTAGGGTCAATCTCACTCCCGAACAGATCATGAGGAAAGACACTTCTCCATTGTCATTGTTTGGTTCTTCTTTGAAGCTAGGAAACATGGCTTTCTTCACACTGAAGAAAAATCACCTATCACTTTGTATCAAACTACTTGCTTTTCAAATTATATATCACAGAACAATAAATCAAAAAGGAAAGGCCATGAATCAAAAGTGCTACCTGAACAAATCCCGTATTTTTTCTCAGTATAACCCCAAATGACTGCTACATTAGAATGAATCATCAGATAGTCAACACAAAAGGCCTCATTTAAGTTCATTATTCATAGCAAAAAGTCTGGCTTTGGGCTCTGATACACTTCAGAACTTTGGTTTTAGAAATACCAAACTCATTCACAGAAATGTCAACCTAACCTGAGTGTCCCCATCCCTGCACAAATAAAATGAGTCCTCCCCAGACTGGCCTCGGCTTCCCCAGGCAGCCTCTCTCTTGGTGTCAAATCCCGTCTGGCATTGTCATCATTCAGGGGAACACCTGTGCCTCTGATGAAGTAGCACCACTTAGAATTCCGCATTCACCCTGCTGCCAAGCCAAAGAACACACATTTTATTTTTTAGTTTAAATACATCTTAAGTTTAGACAACTTACATGACAATAGTTTTTTTTTCCATTAAAAAAAAAGCCTCCACTCCAATAAATCATGGTCAAAATAAATGAAGAGCTCAAGACAACATCAGTCCCCCTTCTTATAAGCCCTGGTGCTTTGTGGATGACAAGCAGAAGCCAGTTATGAGGAGCAGGGATAGACCCAAAGTCATTGCCCAATTAATTAACATTTTCCCATCTTCAACCCGTTCTTAAGGAGAATCATCAATGGGACCACAGTGTCCTCACGGTCGTCCAGCAGAGCAATCCTGCCATCTGGATTTACGTTTTCACCAACATAGAATCCATAGTTCTTGAAATTAGCAAGGAGGTGTTTGACTTGTCCTGCAGTCCCTGTCCTGAAAGGTTTCCGTCTTTCTGGTCTGTGTTCTTGCACTTTGCATGTGATTGACTTCCTGTAATCTTTCATGTACTTCTCCAAGGACTCGTGGGTGAAGCTGGTGTCCTGCAGGTGATGGTTCATGAGAACATCAACAATTACAGTGCTTTCCGCATCTTCGCCCCCGGGGCCTTTGGAGGAAGCATTTCCAGGGATGAGTGGATTGTCAGTGTTACCCTGTGTCACACTGATCATCTTCCTCCCCACCTCCAGGCACAGGCCACTTGTGAGCTCCCAGATCTTGTAAATGTCAGAGAATATCTCACTCTGGCTGCAGAGGTACTGGTAGACAGTCAGAATGGCCGCTGGAAGAAGATGACAGTGGCGCTAGCTTAGCTGGAGCCCGGAGCTCAGAGCAAGCATGGTGCAGCCAGTAGGGGTACTGGGGATAATGGAGTGCAGACAGAAAAAGCCAGGATACGTTTGTCTGTTTTTTATTGTTTTTATTTAAAAGATCCAGGTCCCATTTTTCCTAAAGAAAGGTAGCAGATTTATTAGGACATATATTCATTCAACAAATATTATTGAAGGTCTTTTTTGTCCACAGCAATGTACTGGCTGCGAGGGCTCACAGCAGAAACCAGATCCAATCCAAGCCCATAGCAGGTTTCACTAAAGCCCAGGTGGAGGCGGAAGAACAAGTGTGTGCACAAGGATGGTTCAATGGAAGGGCAAACGATGACACAAGGCAGTACCGTGAGCAGCAGGAAAACAAGGTGATGGAGGTGCGAGCCCTGGGAGACTGCCAACCTCACTTCCCCTTTGACCCCTAGAAAAAGCCAGCTCAGTGCCTAAGGGCAGGACGTTTGTCTTCTCCAAGATTCAGTTTCCTGGTAAAATTAGAGCTTCAGTCAGTGACTTCTACACTTCATCTTCAGCTTTCACATTTTTTTAAGATTCATTTATTTATTTGAAAGACAGAATTAGAGAGGTAGAGGCAGAGAAAGAGAGAGAGGTGTTACATCCATCGGTTCATTCCCCAAATGGCTGCAAGGGCCAGAGCTGGCCAATCCGAAGCCAGGAGCCAGGAGCTTCTTCCAGGTCTCCCATGTGGGTGCAGGGGCCCAAGGACTTGGGCCATCTTCTACTGCTTTCCCAGGCTATAGCAGAGAGCCGGATTGGAAGTGGAGCAGCCAGACTCAAACTGGAGCCCATATGGAATGCCAGCACTTCAGGTGGTGGCTTTACCCACTACGCCACAGTGCCAGTCTCTCACCTTCACTTTTTAATGATTCTTTGAAACTACTTCATCAAGTCCATCACTGTAAAGTGGACCCATTGGATATTACCTTCCCTACCAAGAATCCTAAATTAAATAAACCATGCCTATGCTGGATAATCTGGGAAATGCCACTTAGAAACCTTGGTGGGCCAGAGCCGTGGCTCACTAGGCTAATCCTCCGCCTTGTGGCGCCGGCACCCCGGGTTCTAGTCCCGGTTGAGGCACCGGATTCTGTCCCGATTGCTCCTCTTCCAGTCCAGCTCTCTGCTGTGGCCCAGGAAGGCTGTGGAAGATGTCTCAAGTGCTTGGGCCCTGTACCCGGATGGGAGACCAGGAGAAGCACCTGGCTCCTGGATTCGGATCAGTGCAGTGCGCCGGCTGCAGCACGCTGGCTGCAGCGGCCATTGGAGGGTGAACCAACGGCAAAGGAAGACCTTTCTCTCTGTCTCTCTCTCTCTCACTGTCCACTCTGCCTGTCAAAAAGAAAAAAAAAAAAAAAGAAAAAAAAGAAAAATAAAGAAAATGATATGAAAGGCACACACTTTGAATAAATTTAGTTTTAACATGTATGATCCCTTTCATATGAAATATTTACCTTTTTCTTTAAAATTATAAAAGATTTGTCAGAAGGATGAAATATTAGTGATTTAATATTTCTTGATCATGTCCATATTTTTTACATATATATGTTGCTTTAGTGATAAGACAAGATGTTTTAAATTTAATTTATTTTTAAAGGAACTGTTTTTGTGGAGAATGGATTGAAAGAATCAGTAGACCGATAGTACATGAGGTCTCCAAGTCTCTGAACCACCAGTATCCAGGCCAAGCAGCCAGTGAGCCTTCAGCCAGGACTTCACTTGCATCTGGTCTCTGAAGTACATCTTCTCATTCATCCAAAACTTCAGTAAATAAAGAATTCTTCCTCCCTACTCCAAACCTTGTTCACATTGGAACACCAGTGACATCTATTCCCCTGATTCTTCCAAACCTGTATCTGTTCCTCGCTTCACTTCTAAGGACATTTGCTCCAGTACTTTGGCTCTTTGATTACTCACAAGTGTTCCACATCCCACAGTCCAATTTTAACATCTCACTTCAACCGCAGCCTTGGTCTTTATCCAACGTGCACCTTCATCAACTATTCCTACCACCCACCTTGACAAATTCTTTTCCTGGATTACCCTAGCTCTGAGGAAGCCTTCCAGTTCCTTCTAAAATCTAGTCTTACATTTTTAGTAACAGGAAACTTGATGGTACCTCAGTGCATGTTGTCAAAAGTAGATACCACATTTCTCAATGACTCCTTTAGTTGATGGTGACCACATATTGCAGCATGCAATTTCAGGAGGGACCTTTGGAGTACGGGCCCAAGCTCTACCCAGCCTTTATTCCTTCTAGCTTTTGACAATACAGACACAGGACTGGAGTGCAGAACCCCTCTTGTCTCATGTAGTGAATCTGGAGAGGAAGCCACCTATGGTAGATGATCTACTTAGGACATAATTATTGAATATTATTATTATGTTAATAATTATTGAGTCATAAATATTGAATATTCAGAGAAAGAACACTTCACAGTTTCCTGCCTATTTTACTGTTATCATGGATTTGTTGTTGCTTGTTTTTGATTTTGGAATTTTTGTTTGTTTGTTTTGATTACTTACAATTGAAACTATGAGGCAATAAACATTGGAATCCCTCAAAAACTCTCTCCTGGTGTCTTTTCTTTTCACTCCGTATTCTCTTCCTAGGGAATTCCATTCAAGACTATAGATAGATTTATGTATCTTTATTTAATAAAGAATGTTCATAACCATATGTATATAGCTAACCCCTATCCTTGTATTCCCATAACACATTTGAGTTAATATATTCATTCCTTTAGGGAAAAGATTTGGAACATGTTATTTGCTACATAAGGATGTCCAAGTATGTCTGACATTTTCTCTTATATGCATCAGAAGCATTTGTAACTCTATATATTCAAAACAAAACACGTTTCCTTGACACTATTGGACAGCACTTCAATAAATTCATGGAAATGTGTATTATGAAAAAAAAAACTAGGCATGGAATTAACAAGGTTTTGCATTAAACTACTTACCTTTTAATTTCACAAAGTTTGGAAGTGCACTAATATATCTTTTACGTCCAAAGTTTGTTTCATTAATGGGGAACATTTTTATTTGAATATTTATAACATCATTCACGGGCCTAGCAAAATTATCAACTTAAAAAACAACCTGCTGTAGGTTTACAGAATTTCAAGCCCTTCCTGTGTTGCCTTCATAGGGCCAGACCAAATGATTCCCTTGGCCTTATAAATCTATGAACCAGATGTTCCCACTCCTGATTAGCTACACAGGTCAGAAACCAGATAGTCCAGTTTTCATTGATAATTTTTGCTTATTAATTCACTCACAAAAATGTCACAAATCCATTTATCTTCAACTCATATCTTTAGCCCCACGCCAGTATCATCTCTTGCTTAAATCACGGCACCATTTATCCCAAACATTCTTCCTCGATTTGTGATTTTGCAGCTGGAGTAGCCTTTTGGAAATGAAAGTCTATTTGTGTTGCTTGCTTCCATGATATACACAATTAAAAATAGTTCTCGATCTTAGGGGAAGAGGCAGTGTCTCCTCATGGCCAGCCAGGCTCTTCATAGGCATTGAGGTCCCCAGGTTTCTCTTGTCCTTTGCTTCTCCTTATAATTTGGTTCCTCATAGTTTTATTGTACCTTTCTACCACATAGACCTTTGAACGTGCTATTTCTTCTGCCTAGAAAATTTCCCCCTTTTCACTTGGGTCATCCCTATTTAGCCCAAGAAAGTTTTTGGTGTGGTCCTTTATTAGGACAATGACTCCCAGGTAGGGCTATCATAATACCGTGCACCCATCTTCCATGTTTCTTAACATCATTTCAATTTTGTATCTGTTCATAAAATAACCTGTTCAACGTGTATCTTTCTAAATATCCACCAAGGCAAATACTTTATTCATCATTGTACCTAGCAAATATATTTGACACCTTATTTCTATTAAATATATAATTTCTATTAAATATACAGTTGGATAAATTAATAAATGCCTACATTAACTTACTGCCTATAAAGTTTATCCGGGAAAATTTCAACCATTCTGTTTTCTTGCTTTTTTATTTTTTCTTCCATGGCACTGATAATAGGCAGAGGTCTTCAAAATCACTTTATTGACTTTAAAACTGAACTTAAAATTGGATAACACTCTTATAAAAATGCATAGAACTATAAAATTATTTAGTGATTCTTCACTTGAATTACATGTGGGTGAGCAGTAGAGGATTCCTCTACATTTCTTACTGATTTTTCTTTTTTTTTCTTCTCATTAGTATAAGAACATTCTAAATCAAAGAGACAATGACTTTTTTTTTTTTTTTGACAGGCAGAGTGGACAGTGAGAGAGACAGAGAGAAAGGTCTTCCTTTGCCGTTGGTTCATCCTCCAATGGCTGCCGCAGCCGACGCGCTGCGGCTGTCGCATCGCGCTGATCCGAAGCCAGGAGCCAGGTGCTTATCCTGGTCTCCCATGCCGGTGCAGGGCCCAAGCACTTGAGCCATCCTCCACTGCCTTCCCGGGCCATAGCAGAGGGCTGGCCTGGAAGAGGAGCAACCGGGACAGAATTCGGCGCCCCCACCGTGACTAGAACCCGGTGTGCCGGTGCCGCAAGGTGGAGGATTAGCCTAGTGAAGCGAGGTGCCAGCCTAGAAACAATGACTTCTGAGAGAGTCAAAGAATGTCTATTAGGAGAGTGAGAAATGCCATGAAGATCTTTCACATATGGGACAGCAGCCAGATATTTGTGGGATTCTATGGACCCGATCTTCAAGTAATTAAATACATGAATGAATGATGCTAACTAGTAAGACTTGTCCTGAGCATCTGTCAGGACTAGTGCTAGAAATCATAGTGCTGAGAGAAGCCTAGCAAAGGAGGGCAGACTTACTAGTTACCTAGCACTAAAAGTTCCAAAGAGGAACACTGTTGGCCGGCGCCGTAGCTCACTAGGCTAATCCTCCACTTTG